CCCATGATGCAACCACATTCATCTGCCTCCCCGATGCCCTCCCAACACACTGCTAAAACTGCTGGCTCCACATTGCATTGTGGGAGATGTAGTCCTCCAGTGATGGAGACAGGAACTACAACTCCCATGAGGCAATGTGCTAGGGAAAGGCAGTTTAACATTTACAAACCAGGAGTGCAAGTACAGTGATACGCTTTGTATAAGTTTGTTAGCATATCAGGGTTGAATGGGAACTCAGGAGATCATGTAGTCTAACCCCCTGCTCAAAGCAGGACCAATCCCAAAACAGATTTTTGCCACAGATCCCTAAATGGCCCCCTCAGGGATTGAACTCACAATCGTGGGTTTAGCAGGCCAATGCTCAAACCACTGAGCTATCACTCCCCCCCCCCGTGTAGTGTGCTGTTAAGTTGGACAGGAGTCCGGGGGGGGGAGGGGGGACAGAAGGTTTTTAAACAGTGTTTTTGATTCCTGCTCCAGCCTCTGGACTATGAACGTATACTGATGGGGGCATTCTAACCAAGGGACTGAAGACTTTGAGGTAATCTGGAGCCTTCATATTTCCTTGATCCTTTGCAGATGGACTTATAAGTTGGATATGGTACAGAGACTGTTCTAGCCTCATTGGTTGCTGATTACTCCCTTGCAATGGACAAAGATCAGATGTCTGCTGACTTTCTCATGTGAATCAGCAGCCTTTGATACCTGTGGTATAAGCAACATGGCCCTTGCTTGAGTGATTTTGTTCTTTCCTCTGCAATTGTCAAAGCCTGTTCCCATTGAACTCAATAGCAAAACTCCTTTTGATCTCAATGGGAACAGGATTTGCCCCAAGAGATCAGAGAATGTGATTTTGATCAATTGCTTCTCTGTCCAGGGACAGTTCTCATGCACGTTCTGCCAGGCTGATTTTGATTGCCCCTCCTGTATGTCGTGCTGGGGAAAATAATAAAACAATTTGGGCTGCAGTTCTATCAAGGTGTACATGGCACACACAGTTCTAAGTCTCTTTTCCATCAAACCCAGATGGCGCAGCATCTTTGTATTCCTAGTGCCTGGCGGAAAGCAATACTTAGGCCTTGTCTACACTGCCACTTTTTATAGCGCTGAAACTGTCTCACCCAGGGATGTTAAAAAAAAGCCAACCCTGAGAGATGCAAGTTTCAGCGCTGTAAAGTGGTAGTGTAGACAGTGCTCCAGCACTGGGAGCCGCACTCCCAGCGCTGGTAGCTACTCACCTCGTGGGTTTTTTTTTTTACCTCGCTGGGAGAACTCTCTCCCAGCACTGGTGCCGCGACTACACAGCCAAGTTAAAGCACAGCCACGACAGTGCTTTAACATTGGTAATGAAGACATACTCTTAGATAAAGGCAAGCTGGCAGAAGCTTAGTTTGGACATAAGACAAGCACTGATAGTGTGTTAAGGGAAAGTGGGGTGATTGTCCTTCCTATTCTTCTTTCATTTAAGAAGTTTTCAATTTGGGGTGCTGCTGGATCCTCAATGACACCTGGATGTACAGGTGGCACCAGCGGCCCAAAGCATCATTTTACAAATGCATCTGTTTGTGTCGGAGAGGACGGAGAGAGCATGGGAGACCCGGGTTGGGGGCAGGGTGGGGAGGAGTCACATGGAGAGTCACGTGGGGAGGTCATGTGCCCCCCCTTGTGTCCCTCCCATGAGTGCAGTACCTGCAAAAAATGATTTCTACTTGCACCACTGCAAAGAACGGAGCTGAAATAAAACATTTTGGGTCAAAAAAAATTACAGTTTGAGTGGGACTGAACCTCCCCTCTTGCCTCTGCCCCCCAATATATTTTTGATTTTCCTGTTAGAAAATTGAAATGTTTTGGTAAAAATTGAAATTTTCCCATGTGGTCCTGGGCACAGGTGCTGACTTTTGTTTTTGTGGGAGGGTGCTTCCCTCTGCCCCCTCCCCCCATGCGAGGGGCAGGCGGGGCCTCCTGGGGAAGAGGCCGAGCGGTGGAGTGTGGACAGAGCAGGCGTAAAGCCCATAAAAGATTGCTGAGCACCCCCTATTTTTTTCGGTGGGTGCTTGAGCCTGAGAGAACCCACGGAGTCGGTGCTTTTCGTCCTGCGGCATCCTCCAGCAGCAGGTCATGGCGGAACAGGAGCTCCCGCCTCAATTTCCCTTATTCTTTGTCACCATTCACTCCACAACAGGCTCTCTTGCTTAAATAATTCATCTCCTCTGGGCTGGTTTACTGCCAAAACATGGTTCAAATGATCCTCAGTACAAATCCCAAACTTAAATGCATTTCTCACACTCAGTGAATGTAGGCCTTAAAACCCCCGCTCTTCCCAGCAGGAACTTGCACCACCTCCTTGCTGGGAGCTCATATGCAGAATTTTGCAGAATTTTGAAATAATGTGCGCAGAATTTTTTGTTGTTCTTGCAGAATTTTTTATTTTGGGCACTGAATCCCCCCAGGAGTAATTGTAATACTTTTGTTGCTATTTCCATACATAAAGAGCTGCCGCATATAATTAGGCTTGGCAAAATTAATTTTTTATTTTTTGATCATTTCAGCCGATAATATCAATATTTATTTTTAAGAGAGACCAACTTCTATTAATGAGAGAGAGACGCCCACAAGCTAAACAGAGTTCTTCTTCAGTTTTTCATGTAATCGGAGTGTCAGAGCTAAATACAACAGTGGGACAGATAGATAGATAGATTTTCTATAGTGTCCCTCAAACTAATACAGGGGTTCTCAAACTGGGGGTTGGGACCCCTCAAGGGGTTGAAAGGTTCTTAAATGGGGGGCGGGTGTTGTCAGCTGTCAACCTCCACCCCAAAGCCCGCTTTGCCACCAGCATTTATAATGGTGTTAAATATATAAAAAAGTGCTTTTAATTTATAAAGGGAGGGGGTTGGAACTTGCTATGTGAAAGGGGTCACCAGTACAAAAGTTTGAGAACCACTGGCCTAATATGTAAGCCCTTGATAATTCAGCTAAGGTTAGACGTTTGATTGCCTTGAGAGTTAATATTGCCAACAAATTAAATGTTCTCTTAATTAAGTCCCCCATCACCTTAACTAAAATATCCTGTGGTAGCTGCATCAAAGGAAGATGACATGAAGGATATCAATATAAAAGGATGCATTACTCCCTTTACAAATGCTACTAAAATGAATCAATGCTATCCTACGCATGGTCTTAGTTCACTTTACTAAGAGAAAGAAAGTATATGAAAAGTTCTGAGAGAAACTTCAGGCAGTTAGAAAATGACAAGGCTAAGAGAAGATGTCACAGCATCAGTCTAGTAGGACTGCAGCTTTACAGGTGAGATTTATGCTTCCTATTAACCAAAGGGGTGTTAATCTTCTCTGTCATTTACTGTGTCTTGGCTGAGTTTGCAAATCATATGAAGAAACTCAGAACAAGAAACATGGAATAAAATCTAGAATTGGTCAGAAAATGTTTCTCCCCCACCCCCACATGTAAAATTCTATGAAAATGAAAACTTTTTCATCCGGATCAAAGTTTTCAGTGGAAAATGTCAACCTTTAGTCCAAAAATCACAAACTAAAAGTGTTTCCCTTGGGGGTATTTAGTCACCTGAAGATGCAGAAAGGCATCTTGAGGGATTTTCCAAAGCACGGCAGAAGATTACATACCTAACTCCCTTTGATTTTTGTGTTTTTAGGTGCCTACCCTGCTTAAACTAATATGCATCTTTAAGTAAATAAATACCACTGGATATCTGCCCCATAGGTTGAGATTTAAAAGCTACCTCAAAGATTTATCTTGTTTGCACTTCAAGGTTGGGACTGTCTACTACTTATAAATATTTGTAAAGTATCTACCATTATAGGGCCATAAACGAATAAGTGACACACAATCATACTTCTGCTTCTCTGCCTTCTCCAATATAAAACTGATCAGGAGGCTTGAAAGGATTTGATTTCTGTCCATGCATGTCCACAAATGTTGATTTCACTGTAAACACCCAGTACCAAGAAAAAATATTTCCACTGATAATAATCAAAACTGACAGATAGGCAAAGTAAGAAAGAAAAGAATGTCAAACAAAAGAACATCAAACAAAAGAACAAATATTGACTAATATGAGCAATCTACTTCCACGTAGAGATATCTGTCTCTGCCTAGCAAACAGCATCATCATATCATTAGTGCAGCATTTCGAAATTTGTGCAGCTCAAATCAGTGATAAAATCATTGGTTTCCTATATGGCAAAGCAGAAAATGTAACACTGGTATTTGTATAAATTACAGATATACAGGAGTCTCCCCTGAAAGTTCACTTTACAGTCTCAGTGAGTGCTCATTCTAAAAGGGTTCGGGGGGGTGGGGGTGGGGGGAGAAAGGGAGACACTATGGACTTATTTTCAAAAGGCATCTGCTTCTATGTCCATAATATTTTTAAATATATGACTCCCCTGCAAATTCCAGCTGTACAGAAATTCAAAGCCCTCCAACACTCAATGATATCTCTTTTGTTTTGTTTTCTAGAGTAAACCTTTCCATAGATGTTCCTATCCTTTTTCTAAACTAATCACTATTTTCTGATGCAACAGCATGTATGGTTTTGCTATCACTCCATCATCATTGACCTTCAGCAACATCCTGCAAATGAATGAAAGGGTATTCAACTCTGACACAGCTGAATGGAAGATGAGAAAAGATAATGTGAACCATGGATGCTTATTTACCTCTGCCTAAATAAGAAATATATTGTCTCTGGACCAGAGAATAGTCAAATGACTAGCAGGGTTTTTTAAAAGCTATCTATTATTATTATTATATCTCTTTTCCCTCTTTTCCTCTAGAGAAAACTCATGGAAAATGTAGAGTGGAGCAATCAAACGTTCATCACAGAATTCATCCTATTGGGATTCGGGAATCTCCCAGAACTGCAGACCCCTCTCTCCCTGCTGTTCCTAGTGATCTATATTGTAACCATGGCTGGGAACATCCTCACTCTTGTGCTAGTTGTGGCTGATCAGCACCTTCACACCCCCATGTACTTCTTCCTGGGGAACTTGTCCTGCTTGGAGACCTGCTACACCTCCACCATCCTGCCCAGGATGCTGGCCAGTCTCCTGACTGGGGATAGAACCATTTCATATAGCGGCTGCATCACACAACTGTACTTCTTTGTATTCATGGTGACTGCCGAATGTTTCCTCCTATTAGTCATGTCTTATGACCGCTACTTAGCAATATGCAATCCCTTGCATTATGCAGCACTTATGAGAAGCTGGGTTCGCATACAGCTAGTGTCTGGCTCTTGGATAATGGCCTTCTTTACTAGTACCTTGATAACTCTTTTGATGGCCAGGTTAACATTCTGTGGCCCCAACAAAATTGACCATTTCTTTTGTGATTTTGCCCTGATGCTCAAACTCTCCTGCAGTGACACCAGCCTGATTGAAGTGGTGAATCTATTACTGTGTTTTGCAATTATACTTCCTACATTCCTGTTAACCCTGATGTGCTATGTTTGTATCATTGCCACCATCCTGAGAATCCCCTCTACCACCGAGAGGCAAAAGGCCTTTTCCACCTGTTCCTCCCACCTCATCGTAGTTGCTACTTTCTATGGCTCACTCATCATTAGTTACATGATACCAACTGCTGGCACTGCAGGAGACCTGCACAAAGTGTTCTCTGTCTTCTATACTGTCCTGACACCCTTGGTCAATCCTCTCATCTACAGCCTGAGAAACAAAGTGGTCAAAGAGGCATTGAAGAAAGCTGGAGGCAAACTGGCTGCTTTCATAAGGAGGTGAATGAAATGTGTACGGTTTCTCTTTTAGACTGACTGGAACCTTATCCAGTCCCTCAACTTGCTGAAGAAAATGGCATCACGTATGGACTGGGTGTGGGTGGTAGAATATCTCCCCTACTGAAGTTAAAATGAATTGAGGATACCTCCATTTGCTCCTACTCTTTCACCACATTCAATAAATAATACTTGCCCATATGATACTCCCCTTTTGTTCCTGTGATAGGCTTTGATGTTAGATAATTCAGGGATATTACATGCTCTCTGTTTGTCTGATTGATGTAAAGGGGTTTGTCATATGAACACAAGAGATTAAATGCTGGGATATTTACTGTGTGTTTGTGTAGGACTAAGTCAACAGAGGGAGGAAAAAGAACAATAATGAGAACATAACTGCTCATCTAATAACTGTTAAGGGACAACGCTAGAATAATTCACTTTGATGTCCCCATCTCTGACCATCAGCGGAGGGAGGGATTCCAGTGTGTAAACACAAGAGAACCCCAAAATCCCAGGAACCAGTAACAAAGGGCTTCTAGGGCAGATAATAGTGTAATTTTCAAGGGAAGTGACAGTTGTTTTAGGGAGCTGCTGATAAGAAGTGGGTCTCACAGATAGAGACCAGTGTTTAGGGTCCTGGAAGAAAGAGGGAACTGCCTGTGGTCTCTGCCAATGGATAGTAAGTCTCTAGGTAAGACAGACTTGCACATAGGACTGTTGTTAGTATAAAATCCTTTATTTTCTCTTACATTATCCTTTGTTCCTACTGTGGGAAATAAACAATACTCGTTTGGAGACAGCCCTCTGCTCATCAGACTTACCAGTAGAACTGGGCAAAAAATTTCGACAAAATGAGCTTTCATCAGAAGATGCAGCTTCATCATAACCAATACAGAGGCCACAAAGGTTTCCTCAGATCTAGGATGGAATTTCAGGTCAAAACTAGTGAAGGAGCCAGTTGTCGAGTGGTTAGTGCACTTAGTTGAGATGTAGAAGACCCCGGCTCAAATCTCTGATTTGGAGCAAGAAGTTAGCCCTATGTAGCCTCCCATATGAGTGTTCTAACCAATTGGCTACAGAGTCTGTCTTGTTTTCACTCTTTCCTGTTAGAGCTGTTGCACTTTGTCCAAATAATTAATTATTCATTGGGCTAAACACAGTGAGTGAGATTAACTCAGTGTACCACTGAGCTATGGCACCCAGCCTGGTTGTGAGATATGTAGATTCATGTCCCTGCTCCAAGAAATATTTAGTTATTTATACAAAGTGGAACAGCTACAAGAGGGAAAACATCCACCCCAGAACAGCCTTGCAGCTCAAGCACTTATGTGAGATCCAGGAAAGTTTAAAGTCTCTGCTCCAAACCAGTCAGAACAGGAATTTGAACTCAGCTCTCTGGCATCTAATTAAGTGTCCTTACCACTGAGCTATCACCTTTCTGTCTCTGAATTTTCCTCAACAAAACATTGGAAGGTCTCAGTTTCATCCCAAGGTGCTATTAGAAAATCTTTTGACATCTCAAAAAAGTTTTGTAGCGCAGGAAGAACATTTCCTACCCAGCTCTCCTTACAACTGGTTGCCCAAGGGAAGAAACAATGATGCCAAAATCAGTTCAACCCACTGAGAAATCACATTGATACCTAGGGTGCTGTAATCCCAGCCCTAGCCTGGCAGTGGGAGAATCACCTCTCTCAGGGGGGAATTCTGTAAGTGTGGGGCCTGTTTCCTGAGCAGGTGCACTGAGAGAGACCGGAGATGGGTGATTCCCCCATTCTTACCTCTGGTTCAGGATCCCTGGCTGGGCTACAGTTCTCATGATGCAACCACATTCATCTGACTCCCCTGATGCCCTCCCAACACACTGCTAAAACCGCTGGGTCCACACTGCATTGTGGGAGATGTAGTCCTCCTGTGATGGAGACAATGGGGACTGGAACTACTACTCCCATCAGGCAATGTGCTAGGGAAAGGCAGTTTAACATTTACAAGGAACGGAGCTGAAATAAAACATTTTGGGTCAAAAAAAAAAATTACAGTTTGAGTGGGACTGAACTTCCCCTCTTGCTCCCCCGCCCCAGAAAAAACATAGTTTTGATTTTCCTGTTAGAAAATTGAAATGTTTTGGCAAAAATTGAAATTTTCCCATGTGTCCTAGGCACAGGTGCTGACTTTTGTTTTTGCCGGTGCACGCTCCTGTCTGCCCTCCCCCGATGCGAGGGGCAGGCGGAGCCTCATGGGGAAGAGGCTGAGCGGCGGCAGGGCCTCAGAGCGGAGCATTGGCAGGGCCTCAAGGAAAAGAGGCCAAGCAGGGGTGGGGCCCTAGGGCGGAGTGTAGGCAGAACAGGGTAGAATCCACAAAAGATTAATCAGACCCTGCAGGTGCTGAGCACTCCCCATATTTATTTTTGGTGGGTGCTTGAGCCCAAGAGGACCCATGGCGTTAGTGCCTATGGTCCTACTGCATCCTCCAGCAGCAGGCCATGGCAGAACAGGAGCTCTCGCCTCAGTTTCCCTTATTCCTTGTCACCATTCACTCCACAAACAGGCTCTCTTGCTTAAATAAAACATCTCCTTTGGTCTGGATTACTGCTAAAACATGTTTCAATTGATCCCCGGTACAAATCCAAAACCTAAATCCATTTCACACACTTAGTGCATGTAGGCCTTAAAACCCCCGCTCTTCCCAGCGGGAACTTGCACAGCCTCCTTGCTGGGAGGTGTTTTCCACCATACCTGGGCGCTTCATCACTCCTCTCTTGTCCCTTCTGCAGGAGAGCCCCCCTGCCCCCAGACCCTCCACTTGGGGAGCAACCCTGCCCTTGTCAGCATGAGCCCCCACCGCCTTTCTGCGGGAATCACTTCAGCTCTCCAGTGTGGACACAAGTGGGAAAGCCCCTTTCTGCTCCCCTGCCTTCAGCCCTCGGCTCCAGCTTTCTAGTCTGGAAGCCAGCAGGCAACTCTTTCTGTGTCCACTCCTGCCTTCAGCCCTCTCCAGGTCTCCAGGCAGCAAAACCTTCTTGCTGCTCTTCCGTCTTCCCTGTCGGAAACACCTACAGCTTCCTTCAGGGGCCTCCTCCGGTTGCCTGGTCTCAGGCAGCTCTGACCTGCTGATTTCTGAGTCTTAGGCAGCTCTCACCTGCCATTTCCCTGACTAATTCACCAGGTCTCTCTCTTCCCTCTAGGGCCCCACATCCCCCCCTTAAACCTCATTAGGAGGCAGATGACTCACACATGCACTGACCCCTGTTCTGTCTTACAGAGCCAGTGTGACACTGTGACACCACAGAAAATTTGAATTATGGAGAAACTGTATCCGATGGAAAAATCATTCCAATGGAAAATTCCCGGTCAGTTCTACTCGCAGGCAGAGCTGCTCCCTAAAGTACCAGGGATGTGGTAGAACTTCCTGTAGATGTCCACTCATGTTCTTCCATCTGGAAAGACTAGAGTTTATTTATGGTAGTGTCTTGTGTTTATGACAGACTGAGGTCTGAACCTACCAATGGTGCCAACAACGTCTGCCTTAAATCCATTCAGCGCCCAATGCGAGCTTGGATGTGGGATATTCGCATAACAGCACATTCCTCGGGACACTACCTGAAAGCTGTGATAAGTGGAAAAGTGAAGAGTGCACCTGAAACTGAACGATGCTCTTGCAAATACAAGTGAGCCTCAATTTTCCAAGGATCTCAGGAGACACCCAAACCAACAGGAAAAACAATGTTTGGATAATGAGAATCATCAGTGCTGAAGAGGCTCTAAGCTCCACAGGGCTGAACTGAGGCTATGTCTCCATAGGGTGACCAGATAGCAAACATGAAAAATTGGGACAGAGTGTGGGGGGTAATAGGTGCCTATATAAGAAAAGCCCAAAATATCGGGTCTGTACCTATAAAATTGGAACATCTTGTCCTCCTATGTCTACACTACACACTAGTGTCAAGGAAATAGAAACCACACTGTGTCCACATTGCTGCATAATCTACATGTCTTGGGGAAAGGCTCTGGCAGCAGAGAGCTGATGGAGCGTTATCCCACTCCTGCAGTCTTTTCCTGCAGAGGGGAGAGGCCCCTGCAACAGGAAGGAAGAGGAACACTACACTCCTAAAAATAGAGGTGTGGACAAGAGGCCACAGCTTGGGTGCGTAGAGAGTCATATAGTGTATGTACTCGTATAAATATCCAGCCTCTTCAGGCATGTCTTTACTCACCTAAGCAGTGTGTCTCTGTCTACATCACTATTTATACATATGCTGGGGGTGGGGGCTACCCATGTATATGCTCTACACGACACCAAAAGAAGCGTGCAGTAAAGATGTACCGTAAGAGTCTTCAGGACTCTATATTCCATAGGAAGTTAGTGGCAAAGGAGTGTCATGGAAAAAGTCACCCACACATTGATTTTAGTTCACAGACTCAAGCCTGAGGCCAGTTTATTGCAA